TTGAAAATGTGAAGACCATAGGTTGGCAACTTTGTAGAATGTTTCTTTTGTTTTACTTCCTGTGTGTTTCCTCATAAATTACGAAGAGGTAATGCTTTAATGTCAACTTGTCACACTCCTGGTGATGTTCACTTCCATCACATGGTTAAGATCCTCTCTGCCAGGGTCTCTACTGTGGATGGAATTTCCACAGTTCCACCTGTGTCGTGTCCCTTCACCCAGAAGACATCCATAGCTATGACTATATTGCAGGTCCTCTGTCAAAGGAGTATCTCAGTATCATTTGTCTAAATGTCTTATTTCAACCAGTATTTTTAAGTGAAACAATGCTTAAGTAGGGTCAAGGGACAGTTTCAAGGTAGGGAACATGTCACTGTCTATGGGTTCTCACCTGTGTGCTCAACTGCAAGACCACTCGAGCTCAGGGAACAACAATATTGGGGTTTATTTAACATACATGGGAAACAAAGAGTTTCTAAGTCCACGAGTAACTGGCTATCTCACCCCAGATAGTATCCACAGAGTCCGGAAGTCCCAAACACAAGGCTGCTTGTGCAAGATGATACTACCCTTCAGTGAGGACCCACAGCTGGTGGCATACCTACAAGCAAAGGATCAGGATGCAATTCATAATTCACAGCTGGCGGTGCTCACAGGTGGGGCTGCTGCGGTGAGACCACTGTAGTGGTAACACCGCAGCAGCCCACTACAGTCTGAAGGCTGGGCTGGATAGCACCAGACTCTGGACCAGACAGCAGTGGAGTCAGTGACACTGGGAGGCGGTCAGTGTTGATCAGAAGTGGTGGACAAATCTCAAAGGTGACCTTGACATAAGTGCTGGTCACCTGTCAACAGTGCTGGAGAGCACCGGCCAGTAGTGCCAGTCACCACCTGTCACTAGGAGGCAGTGTGTAGGGTAAATGGTTTTCAGGCTTTTCTGCCCTCCCACCATTAGGATTGCCCTGCCTGATGGGGCACCTGCAGCTGTTACATTGTTGTAAGCTGTGATCTCTACTTCTGTGGGCCATGGCTCAGTATTGAGATAGTCACCAAGAGAAGCAGAAGCAGGAGAGAGAACTGGAGAGAAGGGGAGAAAGAAGGCCAGAGAAGCCCAGAGTGAAGACTTGCCAGGGTCCTGGAGGCCTGCTGGCCTCCTGACCCCTTGGCACCCCTGCCTGCCATGTACCTTGCTTCTGCACTACATATAAAAGCTCAATAAAAGCCTGAGAAAGCCACTGAGGGCTCCAGGACTCTCCTTTAGCCGGTCTGCTGAATCATAAAGAACCTGCCCTGTGCCCATCCTGTCTTGCCCCTACACAGTGCCAGACACACCAGTGTTAACAGCTCTTTGTGAGCTGTTGAAATGAACCAATAGCACAACAGCTCTTTGAAACACTGGACGAAGGCCAATGGTGTTCCTTGCAGGCAATGTCAGAGGCAGTGCCAGAGGCAGGTGCAGTGGCTGGGTCTCTGTGAAGGTCTGCAGAGGTTGGCTGCTGAGCCTTCTTTCTTTTGAGGCCAGGAACAGACTGCCCCAAGCTGGCTCTTGCTCTGCCTTACATCCCCTTTAAGGTCCCTGATCCTATTAGCCTGAAGGGATTGTTTTCCATCCTAAGCATCTGATTGGATTATTTAGCACCAATCAGCTCATTTTCCATTTTCAATCTAAATACCAAAGTAACAATGAACCTGATCAGTCAATTTAGCTTGCACTTGGTATGTCCATTTTTCCGTCCAGGAGCCAAATATAAGTGGGTGCCTGCATAGACCTGACTTGCCCTAAGATCAGGGCAGGCTTGTGAGCTGGAACCCATCTCAGTAAGGCCGGAGGCAGACTGCGCCTGGTGGAGTATAATAATGCAAGAAGGTGTGTATGTGTGTGTATAAACCTGCAACTGCATTGGGACATGGGGCTCAGCTGCTGCATATGGTCTGGAGGCCTTGCAAACTGCTCCCTCTTTTCTAGTGCCCCACCACACACATCGCTCCTGCTTCTACTGTCCCACTTCTAGTCTCCACCTCAGGTCGATGTGACCTCTGTATTCCAGCTCTATGTCACAGCCAGGAAGTATCCCTAAGTGAGTGCTGAGAGATTGTAAGTTTTCCTTCTCTCAGGAGTTCCAGTCTTAAATTGTCTGTTGTCCACTGACTGAAAACAATGGTTTCATACATTTTTTCCAGTTTCATGTTTATGGTGGAATGTCTGGAAGTGGAAGTTGCAAGTAAGCTTCTTGATGAAGAGGATGATGCTCTGTCTTCATGCCCTCCCCAATACCCTTTTTTTTAAAAAAAGATTTATTTTTATTAATACAAGAACTGGAGTACAGGCCAGAGATGCAGGAGGGTGAGGGGATTCACCAGAGACAGAGCAGGGAGAAGAACAGGCAGACTGATGAAATACACTGCTGAGGGGAGCAGCGGGCGAGACAGGAGAGGTCTGCCTCGCCATGTGGCTATTTCCCTGACCGGCCGGGAATCGAACCGGTGCTGCAGAGGCTGTGGACAGCTTCACAGCACTGCGCTCAACTCGTGTGCCACCAGGGAGGTCCCCCAATACCCTTCTTGACCTATTACAGCCTCTGCCATTAGCCCCAGAACCCAGTCGTACTTTCCTGCCTGAACCCAGCTCAGCCCTGGCTCCCACAATGCTCTTCATTTCTTCTGTTATCTTGATTAGTCCTTCCTCAGACCACCCCCTCAATGTTGGCTTTCTCCGGAAGACATGTAACTGGAATTTTTTCTTTTCCTGGTAGCATTCACTAAACTGTGGCGTCACTGCTTCTACTGATGATCTCTGGTCTGTACCTTCAGTTCTTATCTGTACCTGGCCTGCAGGTCCAGATTCATCTGATGCTGCAGGTCAAGATGTGGCAGTACCAGGAGTTCCGACCTATAGCCTTTACCTAATCAATCCTGCAACTCAAAGTAGGAGTGGCCACACAGCTTTGGTCCCACAGTCTTGCTTCTTACTTGCAGTGGCCACCAAGTCCTGATCCCAAAATACCCTCCCAAATGGATACTGGGAAGACCATGGCAGCTATTGTTAGCTGCAGCTATTAATAAATGGCAGCTATTGTTAGCATCATGAAGCAAGTGAGAGAAGTACAGTTTCTAGGCTGTGGCCTCCAGTTCTTTCAGAGTTGTGGGTTATAGTGGTAGGAAAGGCAAACGTGAGGGGGATTCAGGAGACCCAGGGTGCAAAGGGAGGATCTGTATTAACATAGCCCTCTGTGAAAGTATACAGCTAGGCAGAAAGCCTTGGGCAGCAGCCACTTTGATAGCGACCTGGCTGGGTGGAAATGAGGGGGTTGTGCATTGTCCACAAGCCCGGTAGCTGCCTGGTGTGAGGGAAACTTGCATGAGCTGTTGTCCAACACATGGATAACTACTGCAAGGGTCCATGCCCAGCCAGTCTGCCGAGGCCTTGCCAAGGTCCAACAGTATCGCTGATCCCTGGCCAGGCAGAGATTGAGGGGAATTCAGAGAGGAGCCACAGAGAGAAATTAACAAAGACATGTCCCAGCCCAGATGTAGCCACTGAGGGGTTTCTTGTGCCAAGACTCATCAGAGGCCCCTGTGGTGCCTCCTCTAGAGAGCCCCCCTCCTCTGTGACTCTGCTGTTGGTCTGCGAGGCTGAGAGGCATGTGGCAGGTGGGGACAAGGAGTGAGGAAAGGAGCAGGAGAGCTGCTCATTTTGCAAAACTACTGAGTCTAAGGGGAAGGCGTAATGAAGACAGTAACTTACAGAGGCCACGGCACCCTCAGCTAGCACCAATGCAAGATCAGGGCTGCTTCGCTCTGTGGGTCTCACCTACTCCTCCATTCACTGCCTTCAGGGATTTTAGGGTGGAAGAGAGTCCAGCCATCTAGGAGACCCCCATGTGATGATTGTTAGAATTGGAGACCCCAAATATAGGGGGCATCTCAGAGAAGGGTCAGGGAAAGTCCCAGCAGGACAAGGGGTCTCTACTCTTCCAAGGCCACTTACAAGTGTCACCTCCCCTCTCTGTTCCATTTCCACTGGGGGAGGCATTGTACCCCCTGAACAAGGCCCATGACCTTAAAGCTGTTGCCACTATTTAGGTGGTCCTTCGCAGCCCTCTTTCTCCTACTCTCAGGCCAGGCTGACCCAGCAGTGGGCTGTGTTCACTGCTCAGGGCTTAGTATCCTCACTTGCAAAGCGGTGAGGGGACACAAGCGTCACATCCAGAAGTGCCCCTACTGGACTTTCTCTGGTTGTTTTCTGCCCGCTATGGCCTGACACCTGTACCTGAGGCGGTCCCGCAGTGCCCCATAATTATAGTTGCTGCGTGCAAATTGCATTCTGTTTGGCTCCCCCCATGAACCAGGCTCTTGTCTCCAAGGAGTCTTCCCTCCTCGAATGCCACGTGGCTGCATCTCCATCCCCTCCGCTGTAAAGCTGCCAGGACAGTCCCGGTGGTGGGTGGGTGGATGGGGGGGGTGATTTGGGCTGTTTCCAGTTTTCTGGTTTATAAATAGCACTGCTGTGCATATCTTTATTACAAATCCTTCTCTCCTCCCAAACCCTGAATAGCTGAGCCCCACGGGGCACCCAGTATCCAGCGAGTACATCTTACTCAGAGCCTTTCTTGCTTCCTGGCGGTGTCAAGCTGCCTGTAGCAACCCTCGCTGTGGACAGTGGTCCTGGGAGATGAGAATGCGGGTTCTTCTGAGCTCACAAGAATAAACAAAACTGAGCAAAAACTAAAGGAAAGAACACTGGTGTCTCCTGACATTTTATACCTTTCACTGTAGGGAGAGCTCACTGTGCACCTGGGCTGAGGCGCGCTGGTGAGGAGGCGGCCTCACCCCCTGTCAGAGCTCTAGGGCTCATTTTGTTTTCCTTCTTTCACATACTTGTTGACATTTTTTAAAAGTACAAACAGTAACTGAAAGCATTCTTATTGTGCAAAGTTCACCATGGTTTTGACATTTTTTTCTATGGTATTTCATTATTATTTTTTTTTTTTCAAATTGATGAATGAAATCTTTATTTTTTCACACTTAAAGGCTGATGAAAAACCATTAATAATCCTATTAAAGAAAAAGCAACATCTTAATTGAAAGGTATGTTAACTATATTTACTCATTAAATACTTTTTAAGTTTTCTACAACAGAACTTGAAAACATCCAGCATGCAATGTTTAATCTCAATACAATGGATTCAAGATCAAGTACACGTTACAAGCACCAAGGCTAGATTACAAATTATCATAGTCGTCATCATCATCGTCATCGTCATCATCATCATCTTCGCGTTTTCTTTTCATTGCATTTGATGATTCATTGGCAGTATTTTGTGATACCATATTTGTGGTAATAAGAATATTTTTGGACCCAATTAATGATGGATTAATAAGAACATTTTGAACTGCTGATGTTGCAGGAATTGATGCCTTTACAGCTGGGGCCTGTGAAGTGGGCATTTGTACTGTAAACCTTTGCCCTGTAAGGGACATTGGAGTCCCTACTTTAGTTGAAACAGCCATGGTTTGTGGGGTTGGTGTACCAAGTGTAGGAGTACTTGGTCTGCTAGTAACTGAACCAACACTTAATCTTGGAACTGTTATTCTTCCTGCAGAAGTAGATGCCTTTTTTTGTAAAGACTTAAGTCTATAGTTTGGAGCAGTCAAGCAGTACCTGTCAGGTGGCAATCTAGGGCCTGAATATGGCTTGATCAATGGCAAAGGGGTTTGATTTCTTTGCCTTGCAATATCTAATAAAAAATCTCTTGGGGGAGGAGAGGTAAAAGACTGGTCAGCACGACACTGGATTGCCAATCGCACATCATCTGCATCAACAGTGGCTTTCTTAGCATGGCTTGAATAAATTTTTGCATCATCTAAAATTGTGGTCACATATCGGAAGGCAAACTCCAACATCTGATTTATAACTCTTGGCTCATATTCTGTAATCCCCATATCCTTCAGGATTTGTGCCATCATCTGTGCATCTTTCGGCATGCTCTTGGGAGAAGCCATCTTGCCAGACTCCATGATATCCGGTGTCAGACTTCTCGAGCTAAATCACCCACATTAACGTATTTCAGTCCTGATCTTGTTGCAAGTTCTTTGCCTAGCGTGGTTTTTCCAACCCCTGGTGTACCCGTGAGCAGGATGTTCGGAAGCAACATGGTCTTCGCCGCGACGGCCCCGGGCGCCTCATTATTTTTTAATGGATCAGTTATTGAATTAGATTCTTTGTAGAAAATTTAGATCACCGATTTGTGAGGGCAAGCACAGAGCAGAGGGAACCCTGCAGCTGAGGAACAGCCTTGATTTTTGGCAGAATTTAAGAGGCTACAGCTTTCTGATCAACCTGTCGCCCCTTGGTAATCTCGAATTCTCCCGTGTAAGAGATCTCACCTTCCCGGTGTTGGGGCTTATGCAGTTGCTTCTTGAAGTATCTGTGAGGTGCTTCGGAGCTTCACGTTGCCAATATTAGATTTGGTGGAGGTGGCGATGACAAGGTTCTGGTGCCTCCTGCACAGAGGGGCTGATTGAGGGACAGAGGTCCAGGCACAAGTAAGAAGCCACTGCCCCGTGGCTTCAGGAAAACCACACTCTTGCCTCTGTGGCACCATGAAGATGAGCAGAACGGTCCCAGGAATGATGCCAGCTCGCAGTTCTCTCACTTGCTGACTGAAGCGTTTTTGCCGTGGCTCCACAGCTTGTGAGGGGCACCGTAAAAGGACAGTATCTAGGCATTTTGTGAAGTAGAATCACTCAGATTCTGCCATTCTTGTCACCACAAACTGGTTTTGTGACACTAGCAAGAATCTTCTCTCTCGCTCTCTTTTTTTTCCCAATCCTGGCTGTGGCTCTGGTACATGACTTTTCTGGAATACATACCAGGTGGGGAATAGCTGCCAATTCTTCTAAGAGAGGGTTTCGGCTGCAGCGGGGCTTCCCTTTCTTATACGTTTTTGGCTTTGACGTTACCTTCTTAACCTCACCACCAGCATCAGCCTTCTCGGCTTCAGATTTCTTCTCTTCAGTAACCAGCTTCCCAGCTTTTTCACCTACCATGCTGCAAGGTAGGAAAAGATGGTATTTTACTCTCTTTTTTTCCAGTTTATATGAGTAATTTCTATATTCCTAGAAAAGTTTCTATTCCAGTGAAATTTTTCCATTTATTGATAAATGTTGTGCATAGTGTTCTTTGTTTTCCATTTATTTATTTATTTATAATAATAAATTTTATTTTTATATTCCCCATACAATTTCAACCCCTCCATTCTGACTCCAATCCCTCCCCTCCCTCCCCCCACCCCACAAAAATTGTCTCTGGTTCATAATTTTTGTTGATTTTCACTTTCTTATAGTTATTCAATTTCCTGGTCCCTTATTTAAGTTTTCTAGATTCCTGCTATGAGTGAGACCATCCGGTATTTTTCTTTTTCTTTCTGGCTTATTTCGCTGAGCATGATCCCTTCCAGCGCCATCCATGTTGCTGCAAATTGCATGTGTTTATCTTTTTTGAATGCTGAGTAATATTCCATGGTGTATATGTACCACATCTTCTTGATCCAGTCATCTATTTTTGGGCATTTGGGCTGTTTCCAAAGCTTAGCTATTGTAAACAGTGCTGCTATAAACATAGGGGTGCAGGTGCTCTTTGGAATTGATGTTTCTGTGTCCTTTGGGTAAATACCTAGGAGTGGAATTGCTGGATCATATGGAAGCTCTATGTTTAGTAGGTCCAGAAATCTCCACACAGCTCTCCATAGTGGTTGGACCAGTTTTGTGCATAGTGTTCTTTAATAGTCTTTTTTTTTTTTAGATTTATTTATTTATGCATACAAGAGCTGGGATACAGGCCAGAGAGGCAGGGGGTTGAGAGCATTCACCAGAGACAGAGTGGGGAACAGAACAGGCAGACTGACTGAAATACACTGCTGAGGGGAGCAGCGGGTGAGACAGCAGAGGTCTGCCGTGCCATGTGGGTTTCTCCCTGGCTGGCCGGGGATCGAACTTGTGCTGCAGAGGCTGCAGATTGCTTCACCCCTTACGCCACCAGGGAGGTCCTAGTCTTTCTTTTTTTAAACTCTTGTCCCTCTCTGTGTACCTACGTTTTTGGTATATATTTTTATTGACTAGACTTGTCAAAGATTTGCTTATATTACTGTTAATTTTTTTTCCTCAAAGATCTAGCTTTTGGTATATTGATTATTTATGCTAATGGTTGTTTTGTATTTCATTAATTTCTGTTTGGACTTACTAGGCACTACCTGTTGCTTCTCTGAGGTGACTCCCAGCTTCTTGAACTGTTAACTTACTTAATTTGCAGTCCTACGTGTTTCCTAATAAGTCAAGCTCTTTGCTTTTCTGATCTGCTGGGTTGCATCCCCATGGGGTTTCGTGTAGGTCTGTGGATGTTTCATTTTTGCCTTCCCCATGGTTTATAATTTAGATTTCCAGTGAAGTGAATTTATTTGGCATTCATTAGTTATTTGTATTTTTATTATGTGTCTCCCATTCCTGTTTTTGTAGACTGTTTTAAAATTTGTCTCCTAATACTGAAACTGTTCCATGTGGCTGTGAAGAACACCTATTCTCCACACCTGGTACCAATGTCAATGTACTTTTCCTGCAATTTAAAAATTAGGTATAATTTATATACATGTTACATGTAATGACATAGAAATGACAACTACATGAAAATGTGCTGATTTTATGATTGTGGTTTGCCGAAGTTTATACACAAGTACAATGTACACATGTGTAACCATAAAAAATAGAGAACATTTCTGCCATCCCAGAAAGTTTCTTTGGGCCCTTCTGAGCCAATTCCGGCACTGCTCAAGCCTATGCAGGGACATTCACTTTTCTGATTTTATAACCATGGGTTCATTCTAGAATTTGTAGAAATGGAATCGTGCAGTGTGTTTTATTTTGTTCAACTTTAGTTCTGAGAGATTCACCCATGTTGTTGAGTATCAGTAGCTATTCTTTCCTGTTTATTAATGCAGATTTACTAGTTACATTCCTGTTTATGGACATTTACATTGCTTGCAGTATCAGCTACTATGACCATCCTTGTACAAAATTTTTTTATTTTTGACATATGCTTTTATTTCTTTTGGATAAATACCTAAGAGAAAAATTAGTAGATTACAGGGAAGGCATTTGTTTAACATCATAAGAAACTGCCAAACAGTTCTCCGAAGTGGCTGTCCCCTATTTGTGTACATTTTCTTTTATAATGTTTATGAAGCAGGGTCCTCTAAATTGTTGAACCTGGCGGTGCTGCGGGGTGTCAGGTGCAGTTTACCTCTGGTCCCACTGAGGCCGGCTCTGGCATGGCTCCTCTGAGCCTTCCAGCCCATGAGCTAGCCCCGATCTCAGTGCTGGTCCTGTCTGGGCATGGGCCAGGCTTTTGTCTTTGATATCTGCTCCAGGATCCTAAATGGACCAATCAGATGCTCAGATTCGGGCTAAATGGGCCAATTAGGCTCAAACTTGCATCAGTGCCAAAGGGGCTCCTACTATTCAGTTTTGAAGCCCAATCACAGTGAAAATGGACAGCATGGGATTGAAAATGTTCTTGAAAATGGACCAATTTAACTGGAACTTGACCAGCACCAATCAAACAGCTAAAATTGGAGGCTCCCCCACCCCCTAGCTCATAGTGTTTGGTTATGGTCAGGTGGACAGGCTGGTATAGTTTGACCTGCACCAATCAAATAAGTGGGATTGTAAATGGACAAGTCTTGACCCCTCTGGTTCAAGCCATGGGAGAAACCTGCTCTTTCCTGCTGCCTGAATGGTGGGATGTGCTGGCTCTGCTGCCGCTTCCGGGCCCCCCAGTGAGTACAGCTGGAGGGCTGGCCATGCAGGCAGCTGAAAAGCTGGCAGCAACACTGGTGGTTTCCCGCCCTGCTTCTCTACTGGGCAGGGCGCTGCTCTAAAAGTGGCAGCAGTGGGTAGGAAGCTCCTGCAGCCAATAGCACGCTGCCTGCAGACAGCCTCTCCCCCACCCCCCCAAACCTCCAGCACAAGCTGGGTTTGAGAACTTGAGCCCCTAAGCTCTGGAGGCAGCAGCATGAGTTTCCCTACCAGCCACCAAGAAGTGCTGCCTTTGGGCAGCACCCGGGCTGCCCTGCATTGGGAGGCTGCAGGATGGCTACATGGAAGCCCACCTGGATGGGCTGGACCTGATGGCCAGCCTTCTTGCTAGTTGGGTTTTTGAGTGCCAGTATACTACCCCTTTCCCCACTTCACCCCCTTCCCTCCTTCTCCCCCTCCATCCCCGCCCCCACCCCTCACTGCTTGGGCTCCAGTGCCTGGCCCTAGAAGCAACCTGCTTGCAGGAAGCACAACCCACAGTGGGTGGCAGCAGGTGCAAGCATTTTGCTGCCCTCCACCAGTGGCCCCGCTGGAGATCAGGCTGTCGGCAGAGGCTGGCAGTAATGCGGGTGGCAATGATTCTCCTGTCATGCTGCTCCAGGGCATGCAGCCCACTGGGGCTGCAGTGGCAAGGTTTTCCTGCGCTGGAGCATGCTCTGGCAGAGGATCAACAACTAGCTCTGCAGCCCCTGGTTCAGGGCTATAGTAAGGAGGTTGGAGCTCCAATGGGCCAGCTAGAGCACTGCATCTCCCTAGAGCTGCAGGCAGTAGCTAGGCCTGTGGAGTTCCAGGCCAATGTGGAGGGCTTCCAGTGGAGCCTGGCCTGCAGCAGTTGGGACCTGAGTCCTAGTGCTGCAGCAAGCTACCGGGAAACTCCTCTTTCTCCCCCCACCCCAATTTATGTTGCGCTGGGCCACTATGGGCCCAATTTATGTTACACTGGGCACTGGATAGAGACCAGTTCTAGTCCATGAACTTGCCCTGAGGTCATGGCAGTTCAGGTCTGTGCAGGCACCATATTTTCCTTTTTATATTTGGCACCTGGATTGTCGAAAAGACCAATCAGGTGCAAGCTAAATAAACCAATCAAATTCAAGCCCAGCTTATTAGTTAGTTATTCACATTGAAAATATGAAATGAGGTGATTGGTGCTAAATGGCCCAATCAGTCATTTAAAATTGAAAATGGTTCATTCAAACTTGTAGAGTGTGGACCCTGAAAGAGGATATAAGTCAGGGCAGGAAGCAGCTTAGGGCATTCTGTTCCTGGTCTCCAAAGAAAGAAGAAAGAATGATCAACAGTCAACTTCTGAAGAAAGAAGAGCAGCTG